AAACAATAAAAATATAAAAAGAAATATAAGAAATAAAAACTTCCCATGACAAGAATAAGCTAAAAGAATTCGTGACCATGAAGCCAGCACTACAAAGAATATCCAAAGATAAAACTGCACTCAGAGGAACACAAAAACAAATCCCAAATCTCCCAAATAGAGGAAGATTGATAGAAGAGTAATATATTAAATGAGAATCAAGACATAATTAAATATCACAAAAAAAATCAAAATGGCAGGAAACCACAAATACTTATCCTTACTACACTGGAAGCAAATAATCTCAACTCCTCAATTAAAAGATACAGATTAGCAGAATGGATCTAAAAACAAGAGCTGACTATATGCTGTTTGCAAGAGACTCCTTTCATAGGCAAAGACACAGACAGGCTGAAGTTAAAAGGATGAAATAAAATATTTCATGTACATGGAGTTCAAAAAAAAGCAGGAATAGCTATTATTATTTTTATATCTAGCAAAGCATATTTCAAACAAAAATTAATCAGAAGAAACAAAGAAGTCCACTACACCCTAGTAAAGAGAATAATATAAGAAGATAAAACAAGAATAAATATATGTGCCCTAAATATCAGTGTAACTAGTTACATAAAAAAAATACTTCCTGATATTAAATCCTCAATAGACCCTAATATAATAACATTGGATGATTCCAACACATCCTATCACCAATAGACAGGTAATAAAAACATAAAATCAATAAAGATATTTTCAACCTAAATAATATTATAAATCAAAAGAACCTAACAGACATCCACAGAATATTCCATTCCCAAAACAGCTGAATTTACCTTTTTCTCAGCAGCTCATGGAACCTTTTCCAAAATAGACCATATTCTAGGTCTCACTATAAACCAAAACTGCAAAAACATAAATATGATCCAATTCATTCAATTAGGTCACAAAGAAATAAAACTAGAAATCAATAGCAAGAACAACAATAGAAACAACATGAACACATGGAAATTGAACATTACTCTTTTAAATGAAGGATAGATCAAAGAAGAAATCAAGAAATTCTTGGGAACAAACAAGAACAGATATATCAAACTCTCTTGGACAGTATAAAGGCAGTTCTAAGAGGAAATCTTAAAGAATTAAATGCCTACATTAAAAAATAGAGAGATCCCATATAAATAAGCTTATGCTCCAAATCAAGTCCTTAGAAAAGGAAACACAAGTTATTCCAAAATCATTAGATGACAGGAAATAATTAAGATCAGAGCTAAAATTAATGAAATTGAGAAAAAAATATGTAAAAACAATGCAATTAAATGTTAGTTTTAAAAAAATAAGACTGATAAACCTTTAGCCAAACCATCCAAAATAAAGAGAGAGAAGACACAATGGACAAAATTAGACATAAGAAAAGACACTTCCCAAATCCAGAGGATCATTTAAAACTATTTTGAAAATTTATACTTCAACAAACTGGACAATCTAGAAGACACTGACAAATTTCTAGACAGATATGACCTCCCCAAACTGATCCAAAAGATATATAAAACCTAAACATATCAAGTAATGAAATTGAAACATTAATTAAAACTCTTCCATCAAAGAGAACTCCAATACTGGATGGAGTCTCAGCTGAGTTCTATCAGACCTTTAAAGAAGTTCTATCATAACTTTAAACCCCATTCTTTCTTAAATTATTCCATAAAAATTGAAAAGAAACACTCCTAAGTACATTCTATAAAGCCAGTATGACCCTGGTAACAAAATTAGACAAAGATATATCAAGGAAACACAACTACAGATCAATATCTCTGATTCACATAGATGCAAAAATCCTTAATAAAATATTAGCAAACCACATTCAAAAATACATCAAGAGGATAATAAATCATGACCAAGTGAATTCCATTTCAGGGATATAAAGTTGATTCAACATATGCAAATCAATAAATGTAATTTACCACTAAATAGAATTAAGGACAAGAATCACATGATTATCTCAATAAATTCAGAAAAGGCCTCTAATAAAATCCAGCACCCATTTTTGTAAAAAATTCTAGAGATAACAGAGATAGATGTGACTTATCTCAGCAATATAAAGACCATCTATGACAAACCCAAATGACAAAGCCAACATCATAATTAATGGAGAGAAGATGACAGCATTCTATCTAAAATCAAGAACAAGATAAGGTTGTCCACTCTCACCACTTCTACTCAATATAGTTCTTGAAACTCTAGCCAGAGCAATCAGATAAGAGAAGAAAATTAAAGGGATAAAAATATAATAAGAAGTTATTAAATTATCTGTTTGCTGATGACATGATTTTCTATCTAGGAGACCCAAAATACTCTACAACAAGATTTGTAGAGCTGACAAATTCATCAAAGTAGCAAGATACAAGATCAACACCCATAAATAAATAGCTTTCCTATACTCCAACAGTGATTTACTGAGAAAAAAATCAAGAAACCCCTCTCATTCATAATAATCTTTAAAAAATGGATATTACTCTAACCAAGAAAATGAAAGGTATCTACAATGAAAATTATAGATCACTGAAAAAAGAAATTCAACAAGACCTTAGAAAAAGGAAAGAGCTCCCAAATTCTTGGATAGGCATAATTAACATTGTCAAAATGGCCATACTACTATATATAATATATGAATGAAACTAGATCCCTATCTCTGATCCTGCACAAAAGTCAAATCAAAATGGATCAAAGACTTGGGAATTAGACCAGAAACCTTACAATTGCTAGAAGAAAACAGAGTAAAAACTCTATCATATTGATGCTGGCACTGACTTCCTTAACAAGACCCCTAAAGCTCAAGAAATAAAACCAAAAATAAATAAGCGGGATGCTATCAAATTAAAAAGCTTCTGCACAGCAAAAGAAACAATTAAAAGCATAAAGAGAGTCTACAGGATGGGATAAAATCTTTTCCAGTTACTTCTCTGACAGGGGATTATTATCCAGAACATATAAAAAACTGAAAAAAAAAAAAACACCAAAAAAAAATCCCAATCAATAAATGGACAAAAAAACTAAATGGGCATTTCTCAAAAGAAAAAACACAAATGGCCAACAAATATATGAAAAAAAAAATGTTAAACACCTCTTAACTGTTATGTGCCAGGCTATATGGGCAATGACCAAACACTCCATTTTACCTTGATACTGCATGTCATGTAAGAAATGCTTCTCCCATGGGAACACCCTGCCTCTGTACCCATCAATAGTTGCTTAGCATAACATGTTTGGCAACACAAAATGGCAATTCTTATCCAATGTAAAGTTATTCTCTTTTTGGTTCCCATTTTTCTTGGACATAGTACCCAGTCAGAGAATGATTGTCTAGATGTTAGTAACCATTCTTTAGCTTGTACTCAACTAGGGTTGTTTTGACTCACTTCCCCTTCTGCTTATGATTTTAGAGCTTGATGTTTGTTTATGGTCTTGAATCATAGCAACAGCCACTTATGATTAATGTACTGACATGCTTTATTTATGGTATAAAAGGTTTACTCAAACCCCTAAAGTGGGTCGAAGGATGCAGACTTGCAGCCTGCGCCTTGCACCACTAGCTGGTGAATCCTGATCACCAGCTCGTGAAAAAGGTTTCCATCTCCTGCTTTAAGATAAACTCGGTGATTTATTGCAATTTTGCCATAACATAACAATCACGGGAATGCAAATCAAAACTACACTAAGATTTCATCTCACTCCAGTCAGAATAGTAATTATCAAAAATACAAATAATAATAAATGCTAGCAAGGATGTGAGAGAAAAGGTACACTCATACATTCCTGGTGGGACTATAAATTGTGCAAATACTCTACAAAGCAGTATGGAGATTCCTCAGAAAACTAGGAATGGAACCAGTGTATGACCCAGCTAGCCCACTTCTTGGCATTTATCTAACAGAACTAAAATTAATCAATACAGCCACTTCAATGTTTATAGCAGCACAATTCACAAGAGTCAATTATGAAATCAACCCAGATGCATCAATAGATAAATGGAGTAAGAAATTATGGTATATATACCCAATGGAGTTTTACTTAGTCTTAAAGAAGAATGAAATAATGGTGTTTGCTGGAAAATGGATAGAAATGGAGAACATTATGCTAATTTAAAATAGGTCAGTCTCAGAAAATCAAGAGTTGAAAATTTTCTCTCATATGTGGAAGCTAGAGCAAAATAATAAAAAAGAAGGAGGGGAGAATCAGATATCATGAAGATATGGGAAAGATGAGTACAGTAAAACATCAAGAGGGAGAAAGGAGGAATAGGAAAGGGAATAAAATATGGAATGATTTTTTTAATCATGCTATGTGCATATATAAATAGACCACAGGGTATTTCACCTTTATGTACAAGTAGAAAGAGCCAATAAAAAATTTTAAAAAATAGATTAGCAAAAGAAAGATTAGTAGAGTATGAAAAGGAGAATGGGAGGAGAGAAGAGAGGAAAAAAAGCAGGGGAACATGTATTGAAACCAAATTCCATGCATGTACATTTTTGCCAGGATGAACACAATTATTACGTATAAATATAATGCTCTAATAAAAAATAATTTCTTAAATAAAAAATTTTAAAAAGGTACAAAGTTTCAGTTATGCATAAGAGATAAGTTCAAGAGATCAGAAGTACAGACATGTAAATACAGTAAACAATACTGTAATTCAATATTTAAATTTACTAAGTATACTTGTTAAGTTTTTTAAATAAAAAATGGTAACTGTGAAATGATGACTATTCTAATTAACTTGATTGTGGTAAATATCTCACAATGTGTACATACATGAAAACATCAAGTCTTATATACCTAAAGATATACAATTTTGTCAACTGTACTTCAATAAAGATGAAAAATTAGTATATATGTTGATAATATTTTACATATATATAAAATATATATGCTTATATATATACATATACATGCAGCATATATAGACTTGGTAATATTAATAGCAATTGTGAAGGCCAACTATTTAGATGTAACCAAAAAATTACCTTTTCCAAACCAGACTTCACACTTTGCATCCAGATCATGACAGTCTCCTTCATAACAAAAAAACTTATTTTGTTTGCAAGTATGTCCATTTTGTACAAATATGTCTTGTGGACAACTTGGTGAACTTCCATTGCAAACCTCAGCTATATCACATTCAGGGTGTACTACAGGTCTGCATGTAGTACCTGCTGCTGACAACTAATAGAAATTAAAATATAAAAAGAAAAGTATTTCATGTAACATTGTTGTATTTGTCAATATTTCAAAAGTGTGTCAATTATTTATAATTTTAATTCATTGTCCAAGACATTTTTTAGTATAAATCATTATTCCAACATTAATAATTAATTGAATGCTATCAATTAAAACAGGAGATGAGACATATAAGAAAAAGTGGATATAATGAAAGCCAAAATTTTTTTGTGCTTTCAGTACAAGGAACAAAAAAAAAAAAAATCACATTTAGCCTTGGAAAATGATTTCTTTTGAAAAAAAATATTTTAATTAAAAGTCAATTTCCAAATATTATATATGTATGAATTGAAACCACTATTTGTAAGTATTCCATACTTACAAACATACCACAATACTTACAAACATTCTTTGATAAACATGAAACATAAATAACTGAGAATGAAGGAAGGGAAACAGAAGAATGATTTATGGAAGCAGTTCAACCTTGGGGGATATTAATGAAGAAGCAGCACTACAGTCTTTCTCCTGAATTATATTTCTCCTGAATTATATAATATTATTATAATTATATTAATTGTTACATATATAAAATTCTGAAAACATATGTAAAGAGTCAAGTGAGCACCTATCATACTTGATTATTTCAAGTCAACACTAAGATTATTACAGACTAAGAATGTAACCTAGAATGAAAACATTCTAGGAAAAACATAAATTAAGCACAGTCAATTAAAGACCGTCAATAAGACAGGGCCCATGGTAGATAGTTCAACAGAGACATTCTCTTATGGGAATCTTGTTAAAAATGTATTTGAAGAACTGAAAAGAACAAAATGGAACAGCAGTCAACATCTTTACCACATAAGCTAAAATGTGACTTTTTTTAGTCAAATGATCTTTGAATAAAAAATTCACAGTTTAAATTTTTTTCTTTAGGCACTATTTGTAAACTGTACCATTTAGTGACTTCTATTTCTTAAACATGTATGGAAAATTAATGTAATTTTCAACTGCATGTGTACAGATACTTATCACAACCAGTAACATTTTTTTATTTATAAAACCCTAAATATTGAATAGAGTGAAAGAATAATTGTTCCTTTCAGTGAAGATCTTCTATATTGAAGAATTTTATAATAACTGTAAATCAAGGCTTAAAAACAACTGCATCAGGTTAGTGGGGCAATTAGCATTAGAAAGTGATCACAACACCTAACAAAAGTGTACTAGATCAGAAATATAATTCTGAATTTATTATCTCTTTATTTATTAAGGTCACTTATCCTGACTTAACTATAGCTCTACATGTCCTAATGTATCCTATACATGATTCAATGTGCTTGTAAAATTTTTGTCAACTTAAATCTTACTTGACAGTTACTGCAGCATGGTCCTGTGTCACATTGCGATCCTTGTTTCAGAATACAGTTTGCAGGATCACAGCAGCTAGCAGGACCACATTGCTATAAATGAATGGAATTCACAAGTAAAATACATGATAATAAAAATTTTTTTTAAAGAGAGAGAGATAATTTAAATATTTATTTTTTAGTTTTCGGTGGACACAACATCTTTGTTTGTATGTGCTGCTGTGGATCGAACCCGGGCCGCACGCACGCCAGGCGAGCGCGCTACTGCTTGAGCCACATCCTCAGCCCGTGATAATAAAAATTTTGATAGAAGCTACATTCTCTGAGCTTGTTCTTAATTTTGAGGAAGGAAATGAATATTACCAACATTTATTAATTTTAGCATTCCTAAACATTTTTTAAACATTAGTGTAAGACTTTTACTTTAGATTATAACAGAGTATCTGATATTCCACTTATCTTCCTATCCAAATAGAAAACCAGGAAAATAAATGGAGGCATTTTCCAATAGTATCAGACCATGATGATCTCAGTGACTTAAAAATACAGAGATGGCTGAAGTCACTGAATTAGTGGAACAGATTATTGTTAACAGTGAGACACCTAAGAAAAGAGCTCTAGATTTCTACATAGAAGACATTTTTGCACAGGTTTAAAATATACTAGACACTGCAGATAAACAGGTGAACTTGAAGAAGCAGTAATAAAAATACTCAAACAGAAATAAAGGAAAAGGAAAAAATCAGAGTCCCCACTAATCGTAAGACAATATCAACACTCTAATATGTGTGTGATTGGAGTTAAAAACTAGGAAAAGGTGAGAGGGTAAAGTTAGTTTTTGTTGAAATTTTACCAAATGTTACCAAATACACTAAAATCTTACACATCCAGGAAACTCATCTAAGTCCAAGCAGGATAAATATCAATAGAACTATATCAATAGAACTATACACATGTACATCTTGTTCAGCTGCTAAAACCAAAGCTAAAAAGAATATTTTGAAAACAGCCAGAAAAAAAAATTCATGCACAAGAAAATAATAGTGATGATTACTACTGACTTTTGATCAGAACTAAAATAAGCATGAAGAATATAAAATCTCCTCAACAAAAGAAAAAATTATTAGTTCATAATTCTACAAATAATGAACATGCCTTTTAAATATGAATATTAAGTTAAAATATTTTCAGGCAAATAAACAGAACATTTCTTGCTAATTATTCTGCCCTGTAAAAACTACATGAAAGAGTATATTCTAAATGTTCTTACCACAAAAACATAAGTATGTGAAGTGATAGATTTGCTAACTAGTTCGATTAAAATTCCCAAATGTAAGCATATGCCAAAACATCACATTGTATCCCATAAATAGATTATTTTTCAATTAAAAATAAAATTAAGAAATAAATGACCAATAATGACAAAAGAATATGCTTTTCTTCATTAATGTCATCAAGAAAATACAAATAAAAACATGACAAAACTGCTGAAAAGATTGACAACATCAAGTGGTGATGAGATATAAAGGAACTAACAGTTTTATGTTGCTGACAGGAGTATAAAATGACATAACAATTTTGTAAAATATTTTGCAATTTCTTATAAACACTTACTATAGGACACAGCAATTCTACTCTTAGGAATCAAGGATAATGGACCAATATTTTTAACAACTCAAAAGTCCATTAGCAGGTGAATGGAAAAATATTGTGGTATATCCAAAAAATGATATATCACTCAAAATAAAACAAAACTATGGTGACATGCAACAACATGAATGAATCTCAAAAATGCTTTATAATACATGCTATATCATTCCATTTTAATGATTTCCAGAATCAAAGAAAACCGAAAAAATCAGAAGCAGAACTGGGAAATACTAGAGAAGCATAAGCAAACTTTGGGAATGATGAAAATAATCTGTCTTAGTTGTACAGTAGTTATATACATTTGTTGAAGTTCAACCTGTCCACTTAAAATGGGTGCATATTAATACTTGTAGACTGTACCTCAATAAAACTTTTTAATAGAAATAAGAGTAAAGAGGAAGGACTCATTCTACCACAGGGTAAAACATAGTAATTAAAAGAATACAATGGTGCATACAAGTAATTCAGACCCATGTATGTGCCAAGCCCTAATGTCATTTCTGCCTTGTAATCAGGGACACATGGCATACTGCTGAGAGATTAATCTTCAATAAATGTATATAAAATAGCTGAAGGAAGAACAAAGATTTGGAAACACATATTTGGTTCGAATAAAAATGCTTATTCTAAATTCCTCTTTACCCATCATCAATAGATTTTGCATTACATTTTAAATTTGTTCAAGAATTTTCAACCTGTAAAACCTAGACAGTATTTTCTTTTATGTACTTCAACACGATTCACTTACTATCACTGTTCTACATGATACTCAGACATATTTGAGAAATATAACATTTACAAAACAAGATTTAACTAAAATTAAAAAATTTATTCATCAATTTTTTTAGTTATCAGACTTACTTCTTCAGTACCACAATCGCAGGCTTCATTTCCCTCCACTTTGCCATCGCCACAAACTGGTCTTGGATTTACTTGCATTAGAGGTTTATTCTGAAGACATTTGGCACCCATACTTTCAATGAAATTTTTGAAAGCCCTTATACTGCAATTGCTAAAACTCTTCACACCAGTGGTTTGCCTAAAGGTGATTCATATAATGTCATGGTCAGTACACTTCAGAAAACATATTCTATATCATATAAGTTACATTCAAATGTTAAATTTAATAGGAAACAACAAATGTTCATAAGAAATGTTCATAATTGGGCTGAAGTTGTGGCTCAATGGCTAGCATGCACGAAGCACTGGGTTTGATCCTCAGCACCACATAAATGTAAAATAAAGATATTGTGTCCACCTAAAACTTAAAAATAATATTTTTTTAAAAAGAAATGTTCATAATTATTTGTGAGGAGGTCATGTGACTCCACTGGAATATATATTTTTTATTAAAATTAAGTACAAACAATTAGCAAAAATAATAGTAAATTTAACCTACCAATTAAAAAAAACAGAGGACTTGAGTAGAAATTGATCCAAATAAAAAGTTATACCAAATTAATGACAAACTTTATTAAACAAGTTATACTGTGCTAAGTACAGAAATTCCTCAAAGACCTCAAAGAAAATGTGCATTTATCAAAATTTTATGTACTTTTACCTATATAACACTAATAAGGATACTTTAGAGAATACTTCCAAAGGATGAATCAATATGGGCACAGTACAATTCTATAAAGCAAGGAGGAAACTACCATTTATTGAACACCTACTATGAGCCACATACTTAATACATGTGATTATTTAATCTACACCACTAACGAAGGAGGCTGGTGTTATCGACATTTTCAAGAAATTGAAGTAAGTGAGATGCTAAAAACCTCAAAAGTCATAGAGTTTGTAAATCAAAGAATAAGTATTCACAATTTTTTAAATTGTACATATAATTGTGTGGTAAAATATGGTATTTTGTCACATACATTAATTGTGGAATGCTTAAATAAAACTAACATGTTCCTCACTTCACCTACTTATATTCTGCTATAGCACGAACACTTCAAATCTACTCTCTTGGAAATTTTCAAGTATTGGCACTTTATTAACTATTGTCTCCATTCTGTACAAATTTACAATAACCAAGGTAGGAAGTCAGACTGAATGTCCAGCAATGGATGAATGGATAAAGCAAGTGTGGTATATACAGTTGGCCTTCCAGCTGTATATATGGAACTGTAGGTTCCACATCCTCAGAGCCAACCAAGCTCAGGTAGAAAATATTTTTAAAAGCTTGTGTGTATTGAACATGCACAGAATTTGTTTTGTATTTATTCCCTACGCAATACAATATGACAATTTTTTATGCAGCATTTACTTTGTGTTCAGTATTTTAACTAATCTAGAGATGATTTGAAGTTTATAGAAGGATGTGTATAAGTTATATGCAAATGAAAGTTGAGTATCCCTTATCCACGAAGCTAGAGAAGTATTTAGATTTTGGATTTTTTCAGATTTTAGAACATTTGCACATGGGACCCAGATCTACATACAAAAAAGCAAAGTAGAATGGTGGTTACCAAGGGCTGAGAACTGGGGAGGGGAATGAGGAGACATTGATCACACCATTATTTATGACTTCAAGTTCAGGTATTTTTACCCAACAATTCATTTTTTTAACATTACATAATTCAATAAAATATTTCCTGAAATACTAATGTTACATATTATTTTACTATGAACTTTAAATTTTGTTGATTGTATCTTCAAAATTGAAATTTTAAGAAAAATTTTAATTCAAAACTATTTCATTTTATTACCTAAAAAATAGGGAAAACAATGTCATTTACCTCATAAGGCTGTTGTGAGAATTAAATATTATCAAATAAGTGAAGTACCTAATTCAACTCTCTGGTTTTATTAACATATTGAAGATTATTGGTGCTATTGATATTGACGTCTCATTCTTTGCATAATAGTTTCTACCTCAAACTAACCTAAAAGAAAAACTAAAATTCTGCCTAAAATATTTTTAAAAATTTTTATAGCCTGCCAACATAGTTTTAAAGATCCTTACTAATTTCTTGCATAAAATACATCGAGATTTGGCAGCTAATTAACCATGCATCCAATGTACTCTCACTTAGGCTTTTTGTATCCCAGGGACTTTTTTAAAAAGCAAATTAGATGGAAATATTTGTCTTACCTCCATGCCTTTTTTAAGAGCTAACATATAATAATGTATGAGAAATGCAAAAGTGTCCATATATATATATATATATATATATATATATATATATATATATATAGTATTTTTAGGTTTCGTAAAAAGCAAGATAAACACAAGATATTTGTGAGAAATTGATGATTATATATGAAAGTATTTTAAACATCACAAAGTACCATACAAATATAAAGGTTTATTAATAATACAGATTCAAAACCCAGGTTGGCCACAAACTAGCTATCTGACCATATGTAATTATCTTTTTTATAACTCAAGTTTCTTAAATATAAGAATGGAAATAGCAGAACCTGAACTATAGGGTTATAGTAAGAATCAAATAAATTAAAAGTATAAAGTTCTTGGAATGGTCTCTAGCACATATTAAGTATAATGTAAATATATATTATCTTTATTATCATTAACATTATTATCATTAACTCTGGGTGATCTACAGAAAACATTTATTCATAGCATATTTAAGCATAGGCCAAATGAAGAGTAATTCTCATATTTTTTGATATACATGTACAGTCCATTTATCCATCCAGATGGATGACATATATACTATAAGTAATATATCCATATAAGGACAACATGTTGTATGTGTATGTGTTAGTATACCTTTTGGAGATAATCTGTAATATAATTATATGTGTATATACAAGTATATGTTTTTAACTGTTCTATTTATAGAACATATGAGTTAACCCTGGTACTTAGAAGTAACTTTAATAAAGAATATGTGTTCAAAAATTAACACCTAGTCTAACTTTCAATTTTTTAGTAGTTCTTTAGTAATGACTAAGTCAAACTTATCATAGGCCATTTTTACAAACAAAAACTGTAATATACTAAAAATATGTGCTCTTGTCTAATGAATTATTTTGGGAATACTGGTAAATTTAGAAATTACCATCACATACTTATAGGTTCTACAATTTTTTCTCATTTGTTCTTATATCACCCTTAAAAATAAGAGAATAGGAATAATTATTCACAAAGATGAGAAAAGTAAGTCTAAACAAGGTTAAAGAATTTTTTTAAAGTTACACAAACATCATATATTTGATAGTGGTCTCGTACTAAGACTTCTCATTCTAAAAATTCTAAAATTCTAAAAATCCTACCTAAAAGGAAAAAAAAATGTGTTGTAGCTTTCTAACATATTTTTAAAGATCCTTACTCATTGCTTTCATACAATACATATCCTACAAAAAATACCCTTACTGATACATATTTTAATTGCTATCCTTGACTTAATTTGCTATCCTTGATTGTCTTTAATGGTATACCTCATTCCATACTACTCTTACATGTTCATGTTTTATAGTGAACTTTATCCCTTTATAGCTAATTTGAGCTATAAGTACTATATTTAAAACAGAATAAACATAACCAATAAATAAATCTATTTTAAAAACTTACATAGCTTCTAAATTCATTGCACAGATGGCTTCTGAACACTGACATTTCTTTGGATCATCATATGATATTCCCAGACTGAGTCCCAGCATTTGGGCAAAAATAACTGAAAACGCATCCAAAGTTATGCCCTTGGGATACTATAGTAACAACAAAAAATTTAAATGAAAAGTATTTCTTTGAATAGTGGTTAGAAAAATATAAAACTTTTATAATTCTGAACATTTGTTTTTCGTATACAATACTTAAAGACAGAGAGATATGTTTCCTTGGAGAGAAGAGATGCTAAAACTCTTATGAAATTTCACTGAGATACAGGAACATTGAGTCAATGCTAATCTTTACTATAATGTAACAATTGAACACCTAACAAAATTCTTAAGTAGCTACCATAACTATATAAAAGGACTATTTTAATGAAAAAATTTTCATTAGACTTTTGGCTATATGAACCATAGTCTTTAATTCATTCAATTTCATACAACAACTCTGGTATTTATGTAGGATTAGATATCTACATGATCTCCTACTAGCCCATGAAGTGGCCAAATAACAAAATTACTCAATGTGAGTGTGTTTTCTGCTTCCTTCTAGGACCCACATTGACACAGTGATTGTTAGCAGAAGAAGCCACATAAAATAGATATAGACCCTCTAGACAGCATTCCTAAATTAGGCTGATCACATCAAATCAGTGCACAGATAACTTTCTTACCCAGGAGAAATAAGATACTGGTAATATTGGTAAATTTACATGGTATGCAATACATCAGGATTTCTCAAATTAAGACCAAAGTTGGCATAGAATAAGATATAGGTGCGAGCAAATTTGTCAGGTAAGTAAAGGCATTTAATTGCTAATGTGTCAATAGTGATAATAAAGTTTTTAAGTCAACTTGCAAAAATACTGGCTTAAGGAGATCAGGTGTTCAAAGGACCTGGTTTCAAATCCACCTAAGAGTGGATACAAAAGAACTGCAGATGGGGATGGGATTGCGGCTCAGTGGTAGTGTGCTTGCCTAGCATGCATGAGGCACTGGGTTCTATCCTTAGCACCACATAAAAATAAAGATATGTGTACCCCTAAAACTAACTAAATAAATAAATATTTTATAAAAGAGCTGAAGATATAGCCTATTATTATTTCATAAATTCCAGAATTATGGCTAGAATAAAAATATGAAACAATTCCCATATTGGTCCCTAACAAATGGAACTGAGAACTATTATGATGAGGAGGGCAATAGGAAGACCCAAAATGCTCCCAAGATGATAAATCAAAAGTAATATGATTTTCCTAGGGATATTATATAAACTAGTATTATCATCAAAGTTTGACATTATAGGATTACTGATACATATAACATCATCATTTAACTCGCCTGTATACAAAAGCCAAGTGAAAGATGGAGAATAAATGCAAAACTAATTTGGTGGATATTTGCAATACAGTATCTTTACTGGGAAAAATCAACATGGTCTCTGAAACTGGTATGCAGAAACTGACCTAGTAATTTCCTTTTTTTAATCCATAAGCAATAAAAACAACCAAAAGTAGTTTGCCTTCAGTAAAGGTAAAATCATAGGGGATCAGTAAGTGCTACACTCATCCTTATGCCTATGTCAACTCTCCCCATCTGCTTGCTATACTATACCAGAGAGATTGTCTTTATAGCCCACACAGCATATATGGCTCCACTGTATTGATGTACAGTAAATTGATGTGCAAATGTTTTAGTAAAATATATGTATTATGGAGAGTAGGAAGTAAAATCCATAACACTTAGTAATCTACCACAGCAGTTAAGTTCATTTGGGTGCAGTGGTTGGCATCCTATCAAGGTACTCTTATAAAAGTAGACACATATTTCTGTATTTCATGTATCCCACTATAATAAAATGGAATTATATGTTTGAAGGCCATATTTGGATATTAAAGGCAACATATGACAAGTTTCTCTGAATAATGTGCCAGGTATTCCGTTACAACTTCTGGCTCAAAACTTGTCCTAGTAAAGGTAAACTTGACAGTGAAACATTAAGCAACCTTGACCTGAATGTCTCATCATGAAATAGATATTATCTGATCCACAAACCATCAAGTAGGATATTCACAGCAATACTTCATTGAATAGGTTTAGAAAGAACAAGTAAACTGCACAAGCAGGTGTTTCAGAATGCCAATGTATTGTGCTTCTTTTGCTGCCTCTCTCACAACTCTTTATGACAGTGAGCAGATGCCCATCATTAAAAGAGAAGGCAAAATCATGGGCTTAATCTATAACTAGGTCAGCAAGATACACTACCAAGAGCCAGAAGTAGAATTTAAAGCCTGATTCAAAAGACCAAGTGGAAGTTGAACATGATAGCTAATTCCTGCAATAACAGCTGCCTGGGAGGCTGATGCAGAAGGATTTCAAGTTTGAAGCTAGCTTGAGCAAAATAGTAAGACACTGACTCAAAACAAAACAAAACAAACAAAAAAAATGTTCAAGTAGGCCTAAGTTCAAGCAGTAACTGTTCATGTTACTTAAAAAGAGAGATGGTTGGCTTTGCATGGCTTCCTACAGAATGAAGCACCCTACCTGCCAGTGATGAGCCCCCACTATAGCACTATGTTGGATTAGCCAGTCAACTGTAGATAGATTCATTACATTGAATCATTCTTTCACCAGAGAGAAAGATTTGTTTTCACATATTGCCTGTCTGCACTGTTTCTACCAATATTTACCTATATTGACAGAATGTCTAGCACTTCTGATTCTCAGTTCAGATCAGGGTCACATTTTGTGACACAGTATTTATGGAAGTGGATTCACTACTACCAGATTTGCTTGTCACATGTCTCATAACCCAGAAGCACTTGGCTTACTAGAATGGCATTATGGCTGGTTCAGGACTCACTTGTGGAACCAGCTAAGAGACCATATCCTGAGAACTGGCAAAGATGTTACTAAAATTATCCTAAATCAGCAGCCAAAATTTGGTGCCATCTGCCCTGTAGCATTAGGCATGAGACTGAGAACATAGGTGGCAATGGTGAGGGTGCCCCTTTAACGATAAAACCAAGAAACAAACAAAAAAATACTAAGCAATTCATATTTTCTGTTTTGGGGACCTTGAACTCTATATATTTGTGTATTAGTACCTGTGGGAAGAATTCTTTCACCAGGGGAACATACTCATGACACCATTGAATTAGATACTTAAGAGAGTCCAATGGACGTTTTAGGCTCTTTAATGACCCTGAATAGACAGGCAGAGAAAGGAATCACTGAATAGGATAGATCTAAAAGGAAATTTTGTTGGTGCTATATAATGACACCAAATAGTTGTTGTCAAAATAACAAAGAAAAAACTAGCAAGGACTCATATCCCACATGACAAATACCACAGGATTCATATATCCCACAGGACAAATAACCCAATCAAGCTAAGGGTCCTGGAGCAGGTAAGAGGAGTGTGGAATGTGGGGCAAAGGAAGAAGCTCTTCTGATTATTCACAACCAGGGACCAAGTGGGAAGAGCACAGCAATAGTTTGTTTCCTTTTTACCTCCTAGTAACACATATAAACAACACTGGGGGGTGGAGCTAACTTTCTGGTTTCCGTTAGGAATAGGACTAAATTAATAATATTAGTTAATGGGACTATGTTCAGGTTGATCATTTTTCATCTCAGCAAAGAACAGATGAAAGCCAACGTGAGTGGACTGTGCTGAAGATATTCTTTTCACCCTTCTAGGTTCAGCTTCCACCATTCTCCACCCTGCTTGTGCCGTGGAACACTGAATTGAGTGAACTACATCAATGGGCTTCCTTATCTTTTAGTTTTGCTCAATAAGGAGCAATAAGGAGGAAGGAGAACGGTGAGGTCAGTGTATTTGGTTACATGTGAAATGGCTGCATCCCTCAACTGAAGACTGGCTCCTATCAAGCAGATCTCTCTACAAAGCTTCCTAATTGTTTTCTTTGCCGTGCAGAAGATTTTTTATTTGATGCCACCCCACTTATTGATTCTTGATTTTAGATCTTAAGTTGTAGGAGTCTTTTTGGGAAAGTCAGTGCCTGAACCACTATGTTGGACTGTTGATTTTATACTTTCTTCTGACAATTGCAGCATTTTGGGTCTAATTCATAATTCTTGTTACTCAGGATTGATTGCTTGACTATTATGAGTCTTTTATTCTTCCATGTAAATTTTAGGACTGTTTTATTAATTGTGTGAAGAGTGTCACTGACATTTTGATGGGGATTGCATTGAATCTGTGGATTGCTTTTAGTAATTTGATCATTTTGGCAATATTAATTCTTCCTATCTAAGAACACAGGAAATCTTTTCATCTTCTAAGTTCTTCTCTAATTTCTTCCTTCAGTGTTCTATAATTTTAGCTAAAGAGGTTTTTCATTACCTTAATTAGATATATTCTCAATTATGTCTGTGTGTGTGTGTGTGTGTGTGTGTGTAAAGCTATTGTGAATAGAATTGTTTTCCTGATTTCTTTCTCAGCAGATTCAGTATTAAAGTATAGGGAAACTATTGATTTTTGTATGTTGATCTTGTAACCTGCTACTTTGGTGAAATTCTTTATCAGCTCTACAGTCAATCAGGTAGAAATATTTGGGTCTTCCCAGTATAGGTTCAGCTCCTCGGCAAACAGATAATTTGGCACTTTCTCAATTTTTATTCATTTAATTTACTTCCCTTTCCTGATTACCCTGGCTAGAGTTTCAAAAACTTCAGTAGGAATTGTGAGAAGTGAGAGGGGACATCCTTGTTCTGTTTCCAATTTTAGAGGAAATGCTTTCAGTTTTTCTCCATTCAATATGATGCTGGCTTTGGTTTTGACATATATTACCTTTATGATGGTCAAATAAGTTCCTTTTACCTCTAGTTTCTTCAGTATTTTTTAATATAAATAGATGATGGATTTTTCAAAGGCTTTACGGCATCTATTGAGATAATCCTGTGATTTTTGTCCTTAATTCTACATGTTATGAATCACATTTATTGATTAATGTATGCTGAACCAACTTTGCATCCCTAGGATGAATCCTACTTGATCATGGTGTGCAATCACTTTAGTGTGTTTTGAATGTGTATTATTAATAGTTTATTAAGGATTTTTGCATCTGTGTTCATCAGGGATATTGGCTTATGGTTTTCTTTCCTCAATGTATCTTTATCTGGTTTTGATATCAGGGTGACACTGCTTCATTATAATAATTTGGGAGTGTTTCTGTCTATTCCATGAAATAATTTAAGGAGGACTGGACTAGCATAAGTTATTCTTTAGATCTGGAAGAATTCAGCTGAGAATCCATCCCAGGCCTTCTGTGTTAAATAAGTTGGAATGCTTTTTATTACTGCTTCATATGGTGAATTACACACATGATAATGGTATGTTTAGGTATTCTATATTCTCTTGGTTCAATTCAGGTAGGCCATATATGTCTAGAAATTTGTCAATATATTCTAGATTTTCTAGTTCATTGGAATATGAGTTTTCAAAAAAGTCCCTAATGATTCTCTGGATTTCAGAAATGCCTGTGTTGGTATATCCTTTTTCATTTCTAATTTTATTGATTTGGTTTGGCTAAGGGTTTATTTATCTTATCTTTTCAAAGAACCAACACTTGACTACATTGATCCTTTTTATTTTTTTAACTCTTTCTTTCACTAATTTTGGGTCTGATCTTAATAATTTCTTGTCTTCTTCTGGTTTTGGAATTAGTTTGTTCCTGCCTTCTTAGGGACTTGAGATATAACTTTAAAATGTTTGTGATTTTCTTAAAATGTAGTTATTTAATGGTATTAACTTTTAGAACTGACTTCATAGTGTCTCAGAGATTGTGGTAAGTGGTATCAATATCGAATTTGATTCTAAAAAGTTTTATCTCTCATTTATTCTCTTATCCATTCAAAAGGGTATCATGTTTATGTAGTTTTATAATTTTTCTTACTGTTGATTTCTAATTTCATTTCCTTGTGATCTGATAAAATTCAAAGGATTATATGGATTTTTTTATTTGCTGAAACTTGCTTTATGACCTAAAATACAGCCTATTTTGGAGAAAAGGCCATATTCAGCATTTCCATGAAATGCTGAAGAGAAAGTGAATTCAGCTGTCATTAGATGAAATATTCTTTAGCTATTGATTATGGTTCTTTTGAATTATAGTTATACTTAGGTCATAAGTGTCTTTATTGATTTTACATCTGGATGACCTGACTCTTAGTGAGAAAATGATGTAGAAATCACCCAATATTGTTGTATTGTCTGCCTGAGACTTAATATCAAAAAGTATTTGTTTTATGCAATTAGGTGAACCAATATTTGGGCAAAAATATTCTATTTTTCTTGGGAATTTTTCCCTTTATCAAAATGTCATGACCTTCCATATGTCTTCTGATTTATTTTTCCTTGAGGTCTTCTTTAACTACTTCTGTTTGCTTTCAGACTCCATTTGCAAGGAATATCTTTTTCCATTCTTTTAACTTTCAGGCTGTAGTTGTCTTTGCCTATAAGATGAGTCTCTTATAAACAGCACATACTTGGGTCTTGTTTTTTAATCCATTCTGCCAAGTTTATATCTTTTAATTGAACAGTTAAGACCATTTACAATGAAAGCAATTATGGAAAGACATTTGTTATTTTGTGTCCTTTTGATTAGTTTTATATATTTAATTCAGTCTTAATTGCCATTTGCTTAACTACTCTTCTGTTGAGTTTCGTCCATTCAGGAGCTCTGGGGTTTGTGCTTTATCTTTTTTTTTTGGTCGGGGGAGAGTGGAGAGGTACCCGGGATTGAACTCAGTGGCACTCAACCACTGAGCCACATCTTCAGCCCTTTTTTAATTTTATTTAGAGACAGGGCCTCACTGAGTTGCTCAGTGCCTCGCTTTTGCTGAGGCTGGCTGTGAAATCACGATCCTCCTGCCTCAGTCTCCTAAGCTGCTGAGATTACAGGTTTGTGCCACTAGGCCTGGCCTGTGTGTATTATTTTTTAAGTATTTACTATCATGTTGGCTTAGTGGGCATTAATTCTTTAAATTTATCCTTATCCAGGAAATTCTTAGCTTTGCTGGTTATAGTAATCTTGCTTGGCTGGATTTTAGTGTCTGAGAAGTCAGTACTGGGCTTTATTGGTTTACCTCTAAATGTAATCTGACATTTTTCTCTTGATACTTTTAATACTCTTTTATATTAGGCCTTTTGATCATGATGTGTCTTAAAGAAAATTCTTTGTTTTTTTCAGTTTTTGTCTTTGGAGTTCTGTATGCCTCCTGTGCATGGATATCCATCTTATTCCTAAAGTTTGAACTTTTTTCTGCTATTATTTCACTGAAAACATTCCTAATGCCATTAGCCCGTGTCTACATTCCCACTTGAATTCCAAAAACTCTGAATTTTGTCCCAGTGTTAATGTTCTAATCATAAAAGAATGTACGTTGTCTTCAAGGCCTAAAATTCTGTTTTCTACATAATCTAATCTATTGATGATACTTTCAACTGAATATTTATTTGATTTATTATGTCTTTCATTCCCAGGAGTTTTCATTGATTGGCTTCTTTTCAGAATCTCTCTTTATTAAAATGGTCTTTCACCCTTGTATTTTCTCTTTCATTTTTTTAGATCTTCTTTTAGTTTGTTAATCATTCTAATAATCAATTTTTATAGTTTTCTTCTTGAATTATCCTGTTTCATATCTGTTGGCTATTTTGTTGTGGGATTGTAAGTTTGGAGGAAAGGGTTATTTGCCTGTTTCTTCATGTTTTCTAGGGTCTTACACTTGTGCATCCGTTGAGCTGGATTCCTGTTCCTCTTTTATGAGAGTGTCCTTCAGTAAGTAGTCATTGTTTTTGTAATAATTCCTGTGTTTTCAATTTATCTTAGCTTTAATGCATAGACTCAGCATAATTTAAGTGTTAATTTCAATCTCCAATGTCTCTCAGATTGCCACTGCAGATTTACTGATTTAATTCAGTCTTTGAGAATTGCTTCAACACTGTGGGTTCCTCTGAAGTATTTTAAAACCTTTTTGCTGTAAGAGTAGATGTCCATTCCAACTTTGGGCCTGGTTATCATTTTGAAGTTTTTATCTACCTTATTCTATATGTTAAAGTATTGATTTAAAAAAAAGTATTGTTGAAGCTTAAGTGGGGTTTTTTTGTGTGTATAAAGGTGTGATCTTTCTTGGATGGACTTCAGGTATAGCTCAACAGCAGAGTCTCTACCTTGTAAACTCAGAGTATCACAGTTATTTTCCAGAAAAGGGAAAACAAACAATAGCAATAAACAATACACAGTATTAAAATAAATGCCTAGTGCCTACTACAGTTAACAACAACAATTAGATCTAGCATCAAGGTAAATAGCAGATGACAACTATGCCATTTATATACTAAAAGTCACAATGACGTGAATGGTGGGGGCAGAAATTATATAAGCTAAATAGTTCTAAAAGATGGCACAACTACAGTTCATTAAAAAGAAAATGGATTCGTTAGGCAAAAAAAAAGTTTAAAATACTCAATAAGTGAACAGAGGGAAAACAGAAGAGAGGTAGTAAGTGATAGCTATGAAGAAAGAAGAGAAACATAAAAGAAGCAAAATAAAGAGAAAAATGGAGAACAAGAGAATTCAGCAATTAGAGGGAGAAGAAAGAAGATAAATGAAAATTAAAACATACAAAAAAAACCCCAAACCAAACCAAACAAAAAGCCTTAAGCCCCCAAATACAAAACAAAGTAAAATTACAAATGGGTGAAAAATGATAAAAAATATCAGCATTTCAGCATATATACACATATATGTGTGTGTGAAAATACATATGATATGTATTTATCAGCATATACATTTCATTTTGATCACTTTTATCACCTATTTGTAATTTTTTTGTTTTCTGTGTGTGTGTTTCTGTGTTTCTCTCTCTCTCTCTGTGTGTGTGTGTGTGTGTGTGTGTGTGTGTGTGTGTCTGTGTGACAAACCAATCAGCACATCAAGAACACAGAAATAATGAAGGAATGATATCTGCTGAGGTGGTCAAAACTGTTAATAAGAATAAATGTTCAGGCCCTTTTGCTTGTTTTTGGACCATGTACCCCTAAGATGGAGGGAGGGCTGGGGGTTGTTAAACCCTTCATCTTTTTTTTTGTTGTTCACCAAGCTGCCAGCTGGAGTGGCCTGGAACCAAAGCTGGTTGTAATAGCTCTCAGCTTCCCTTTTCACTAGTATAAGGTGGGATGATCAAATGGGAAGTACAGTCAAGCTTTGTCCGGACAAACCACGGCAGAGCTGATACAGAATTCTAAATGGAAGTTCTAGTGGCTGGGGTTTAGTTCCAATCAGATCTTTGGAATTTGTTGAGTTATATCTGCTCAAGAGAGATCTCTGCTGTGCATCTGGATCCAGGGCTCCCCTGAGAACTTAACTCATAGAATGATGCAACCAACCCTCTACAGGTCTTGCATAATCCACTGCCCATGAATGTGGTCCTCCCAGGATCAGTACCAAAATGCAATTATGCCCATCTCTTTGGCTTCTATATCTTCCCCTCCCCTACCAAGTGAGATATCTCTCTCCAGGTGAGATACCTATCTCTCTCTCTCTCTCTCTCTCTCTCTCTCTCTCTCTCTCTTTCACCCTAAAACCTCATATTTCTGGGTTTCATCTGGTCACTGACACTCTATATAGTTGCACTCCAGCACCTTCCTATAGCCCCCCTACCTCAACATGCAGCTGCACACCTGTTTGAGGGGGGTTCAATCTCATGGAGCATTGCTAAGTGCCTCTAACCTGCCATCTTCAGGAGCCTCTTAATTCTTAAATAGGACTACATGGAAGGTATAAAGGACAGAGCTTCGCTACCAGTTCTTGCTCTGTATACTTAGTTTTTTCTTTTAATTACCATGTGCATGCATTACATCCATAAAAATAAACATCAGAAATAGAAATATGTGCTGCAATTTCCTTTTTAAAAGAGAATATATAGAGAGGAAAACACAATAAGGTACATATATCATTCAAATATTAATAGCGGTTACCTCTGCCGGGATAGTAAAATGCCAGATTATAGAAATTTTGTTATACGTTCCCAAATATACTTAACATATTTGGCATGGCTAATAAAAACTGTGTATAATTTTTAAAAATATGTAGGACTTAAATTTGTTTGTTTTCCAAAGAATTTGTGATATAAGAAAATGGCTAAGAGAGCTAGATGACCTTCAATAACGCATTTGATTTCACCAGTGATTTGTATATGACACATTTAAATATACTATAAATATTTAAAATACATATAGAAGTTTCTTTTAAATACTGTCTGAAACATTTTAAATGATTTATATTTCAGTTTTTATTTGTTGCATTTGATTTTTAAACTATTTTATCTATGTTAATGTTTATCCAATTTTATGTTTATAAGCAAAACTTTATCTGGGCTATAAAAAGCTTCTTATGGATGGATATTTTTTCATGATGCACTTGCCTATATGTTGAGGAATGCATGTGTATTTATGATATTTTTATTCGCACTTTGAATTCCAAATATAGCTAATTGCAACATGATCCTTGTTCTACAAAATATTCTTCCCTCCACACACTTCAAAGTTTTAATAGTGATAGTAAAGAAATGTAGTTTCTAAATGTAAACTATATAAAATATGCTATTATTCTGGATAATTTTTAATGTGTTAATTTTTTAAAAGATTAAATTATTACATACCAGTATAATTCCCGCAGAATAAGGAGTAACACACATCTTTCCAGGAAATGTTGCTCCCACATAACTTGAATAATCTCTATAGCTAAATAAATAAATATACATTTATAATTTTAATGAGTGAGTTAAATGTGAATCTTCCTGCTTACTTAACTCCGTAGTTTATAAAATCCTAGTCTAAAATGAAGTGAAGTACAGTCCTTCAACATGTCCTTAACTGTTTCAAAATTTGAATATATACTGGACTAAATACTCTTAATTTCAAAAACATATGTAACAGATAATAGGTTTTTAGATCTTTACTATACTCATCACATCTGGTTAAGATTACTAAATCTCTGATTCAAATAGTATTTTAAAAATTTCTTGAATGATAATGACAAAAAGTTTTAATGTATGGATAAAAATGTGTCACTCTCTTGTACAAAAGTTCAACAGTTTCTTACAGGAATGACTATATTATTTCTCAGCTAAACATAATTTTTCAGTTTTGGGGACGAATCCATGTAATGATCATATAATATTAGTCTACGTACTTTACATAAATTATTCCATTTAACATTCAAAACAAACCACTGAAATTGATAATATCTGTATCTGCATTAAACATCTGATGGGAAAAGTAACTCTCTACAGGTGGCATGATTAATAAGTGCTACTGAAAGATTTGAACTTAAAAAATCCAGAGGCATACTCTCAGCCATTAAGATATAGATGTTCCACATATATTCTGCCATCTTTAGAGTTTCCACCCACTTAAATATGACAAGATGTGTGTAAAGAAGCTTGGTACTCAATTCTTTTCCCTCATTTGCTCTTCTCAATTGCCTTATCATCCCATTACAACCTCTATTCCATCTCTCTGATATTGTTTATACCTACCCACCCACCCCCAACACTGTTTCTAAGTATTAACTCCTAATACCCAACATTAGTTTTGCATTTTAGTGTATAATTATTACATTTTCTTATCCAAAGTAGTTCCTCCAAAAGATACTTTAACAAATCCATCTCTTCTTAAGATTTCCACTAAAACTATACACACTTATTATGAGATCAGTAATATTTATTTTTACTTCATACTGCCACCCCTTGATGTGCCCACTCCATGTCAAATCTGTTATCAAGATCTACTATTTCACTTATTCAATGTTTCTTGTTTCCTTTCACTCCTTCTGAGGTTCGGCCCCCATATCTAACTATAAATTGCATACTCTTTGAAAGAACTACATAATTTTTTTCATGACACTAATCACATTGTTTTTAAAACCTGGAATGCTTTTCCACCTTCTTTCTCTACCTACTGAATTAAACAGGCCCAACTCTGCCTTCAAACTTTCACTTAGCATTAAATTTGATCTTTCTATAATCCTCCCCGTCTCTCCTATAAATTGTAAACAGGAAGATAATTATATCTTCCAACATTAATTTTACTATATCCATTATGCCTACTGCGGGATTTACTCAAATCAGATTGTAAGCTTTTACAGAACAGAGATCATAATAAACTATTGCTAATCATTCTCCTTGCATATCTATTCTAGGACCTTACTAATTGTAGATCTGTGAAATGTTTCTACAGTAAAATAATATTGAGATCTCAAAAGTGGTACTAAGTTCAAACAGAATGATTGTACTATACTTTGTATATTTCTAATGGAATAAATTCCTTTTGTGCAAATCTCACAAAAATTAATGCATATAGCGATGTCAGTCAGATGGCCAAGTTCAGGTACCTGGTATATGTCACTCCACAATAAAAAGCCCAAAACAAAGAAAACACAAATATATTCTGGCAGAGTGCAGTGGGAATGTGGCGGAGATGTTGCCAAGCAGAGACCCACAATGGACTCATTAAAAAGTGGCTAAGTGCAAAATATCTATCATTCCATCTCTCCAGTCAAGGGCAATTCTGAGTCAAGAGATATTACTCTCAGCAGCAAAAAGTACAATTAAAGTCCCCAACAGTCCCCAGTCATGCTAAGGACACCTGAAGTATTTGATTCTGGAGAAACCTACAGCTTTCAAAGTCTCCAAGTCAACTTTAGAGTATTTCTGGGGAATCCCTATACCCGCATTGTGCCACAGAAAGAACGTAGCAGTCTATCTACGTTGTGCTCTCCCCCACTGAGGTTCCTACTGCAAAGTATCATCACACACCTGCGGGGGGGGGGGGAGAGCTATGAAACAGCAGGATGGTAACCCCCAACAGTTCAGATGGCCTGGCTTGCAAACTAGCTATGTGGCCTCATCAACCCACATTCACCCCTGGGAACCAGCTTTCCAAGGCACCCATTAATTAATATTGATCTGTTTAGGTTTTCTATGTCTTTTGATTTAATTTAGATGAGTCTTGTGTCTAGAAATTTGTCAATATCATCTAAATTTTCAAGTTTATTAGAATATAAATTTTCCAAAATAATCTCTAATAATCCTCTAGTTTTCAGAAATGTCTGTGGTGATTTCTCCTTTTCATCTCTTATTTTGTTGATCTGGGTCTTCTCTTCGTTAAGTTTGGCTAAATGTTTATTGATCTTGTTTATCTTCTCATTAAGGACAGCTCTAGTGCTATTTTCTGTCTTCTACTGGTTTGACCCTGCTTTTCTAGGAGCCAGTGATATAACATCCAATTGTTTATTTGGGATCTTTTTAAAAAAAAAATTGTAGGAACTTAAAGTTATCAACTTTCCTCTGAGAACTGCCTTCAGAGTGTCCCAGAGATTTTGGTATGCTGTATCACCATTCTTCTTTGATTCTGATTTCTCCTCTCATTTCTTCCATGATCCATATCTCATCCAGAATAGTATTGTTCAATCTCCTTATGTATTTGGTCTCAATTATTTTTTTCTTGCTGTCTATTTCTAACATCATTCCATTGTGAACTGGTAAGATGAAAGGGATTATACTGATTTCCTTGTATTTGCTAAGATTTGCTTTGTGAACTAAAATATGGTCTATTTTGGAGAAGGTTCCTGTGCTTCTTAAAAGTAAGTGAACCAAGCTCTTAAGTCCATTTGATATATAGTAATGCTTAGGTCTGAATTCTTTACTGACTTTATGTCTGGATGACTTGTCTCTTGGTGATAGGTAAGTTTAAATCACCCAATATTATTTTACTGGGGTCCACCTGAGAGTTTATGTGACGAAGTGTTTGTTTTATGCAATTAGCTGCTCTGACATTTGGGATATATATCTTTACTATCATATTTTTTTGGATTGTTCTCTTTATCAGTATGTAGAGAGCTTCTTGACTCTAATGATTAATTTTTGCTTGAAATCTGCTTTTTCATATATCTCCATTTTCATCTACTTATTTTGTTGATTGGGGTCTTCTCTCTGTTAAGTTTGGCTAAGCGTTTATTGATCTTGTTTATCTTCTCAATAAAGAGAGCTCTAGTGCTATTTTCTGTCTTCTACTAGTTTTGGAACTAGTTTGTTCCTACTTTTCCAGGGGCCTGAGATATAACATTAAATTGTTTATCTACTCCTGCTTGATTCATTTGCATGGAATATCTTCTTCCATTCTTTTATTTTCAACTTGTGGATGAACCTCTTGTAAACAGCACATAGTTGGATCTTATTTTTAATCCAATCTGCAAGGCAGATTGGGAGGTTGAGAATTATTATGGATAAGAATTTATTACTTTCTGTCATTTGGTTAGTTTCATAGATTTAATTTGGTCTTAATTTTCACTTGCCTTATTGTTTTTCCAGTGACCTTTGTCTGTTTGGGTTCTTCAAATGAGCTTTGTGTATTCAGGAGCTTGGGTTAGCTTTTTGAGTTCTTCTGTAGTGCTGGCCTGATGATCATGAATTCCTTTACTTTACAGTTATTGTGCAAGATTTTTACTACTTCTTCAATTCTGATTGATAGCTTTGCTGGATCTAACAATCTTGGATGGCAGTTGTTTCCTTTCAGAGCTTGAATTATTCCATGCTAAGTCCTGCTGGATTTTAGACTCTGTGCTGAGAAGTCAGAAGTGAGTCTTACTGGTTTACTTCTAACTGACCTGACATTTTTCTCTTGTAGATTTTAAAATTCTATCCTTATTCTCTATTAGGTATTTTGATTATTGACATGTCTTGAAAAGGCTCTGTCTTTTATTTTTTCCATTTAGGTTCTTATATGCCACTTGTGTGTAGATGTCTCTTTCCTAAGGTTTGAAAATTTTTCTTATTAAAAAATAAATAAAATTTAAAGTTTTTTCATTATTTCATTAAAAATGTAATCAATGCCATTAGCCTGTATCTCCATGTCCTCTTAAATTCCAATAACTTTTTGTTTTGTTATGTTCCATTGTTCTCGTATAGTCAATCATGGTCTCTCTCACCCTTTCTGTCTGTCTGTCTCTCTCTCTCTCTCTCTCTCTCTCTCTCACACACACACACACACACACAGAGAGAGAGAGAGAGAGAGAGAGAGAGAGAGAGAGTTTATGAGTGTTCAAGTTTATATACACTGTCTTTGAGGTCTGAAGTTCTGTATTCTACATAAACTAATGTCAATGATACTTTCAACTGAATTTTTTTTTATTTATTGTATCTTTCATTTCCAGGAGTTCTGGGTTGAGTTTTTCTCAGGATCTCTTATCTCTTCATTGAAATAGGCTTTCAGCTGGGTACAGTGGTGCACACCTATAATCAGAGTTGCTCAGGAGGCTTAGGCAAGAGGCTCTCTAGTTCAAAGCCAGCCCCAGCAACTAATGTGTCTCTCAGCAACTTAGCAAGAACCTATCTCAAAATAAAAACAGACTGGGGATGTGGCTCAGTGGTTAAGTACGTGTATTTTCCCTCTTAATTCATCCCTTTCCTTATATGTGAGCTCCCTAGGTTGAGGATTGTAAATTGTAGAGGGAACCTTGTTTGCCTCTTCTTCCTCTTTTATGAGTGAGTCTTTGGTAAGTTTTTAACCTTTTCATAATTAGTCCTATGCTTTCAGTATACCTTAGCTTCAACATGTAGACTCAACATAATCCAAGTGTTACTTCCAACCCCCAATACCTCTTTGAATGAAGAGAGTGCTGAAATTAGCAGTAGTAATTTAAAAGTAATCATATTATCAACATATATTATGTATGTAATTACTAATGATCTCTATAATTATATTAACCCAGGAGGAACATGGATGAGGAGTAATATAATATAGGCTGAAATTATTAGTAATTATATACTAATAATATAAGAAAATAGAGAAAAGGAAAGAAATTAGACATTTGAAAGGAAAAGGGTGGGGAAGGAAGGGAGGCAGAGGTAAAATGGGAAGAGTAGATTGGATTGGCTTCAGAAGATGAGATTGATGGAATATAATAGTATAGAAGAAAGACTAAGTATTAGTTAATATAAGTCAGTTCATGCACTAATAATTCAAAGATTCACTTTTATTTTTGCTTAAGCATTTGAAAAACAGTCTTTTCTATCTATTGTTTGACAGATGTAAGGAAGATGTTAAAATGTAAATGTCTTTTAATTCCAGCTCCCATTCAACCTGACGAATTTGTTAAGTGAGTGTGTATGCAGAGTTTAACCTTGCCTATGCTCCTCCTGGAGAGGATTGGGGTAAACTGCTTTCCTCTTTCACAATGGCTTTGTTGTTGTGTTTTGAGGTGAGAGTGCATCTTGTTGGGAAAATTAGCCAGCTCCTTTGTCTGCTTTATCTTTAGACTGACCTGTCTTGAACTGCACTTCTCATTCCTGGAGTCCCTGTCCATGTGCTATGCTTGGGTGCTGGGGAGTTGGTACTTTCAGTCTGATCTCTCCAGACCCAAATCCCTGACACCTGTCAACCACTTTTTTTTTAAAAGAGAGAGAGAGAGAGAGAGAATTTTTAATATTTATTTTTTAGTTTTCGGTGGACACAACATCTTTGTATGTGGTGCTGAGGATCGAACCCGGGCCGCACACATGCCCAGCGAGCGCGCTACTACTTGAGGCACATCCCCAGTCCTGTCAACCACTCTTTATTCCACAGACCCATCTACCAATTTTAGATGAAGTCACCCTTTCTTCTCCTCTCTGCAGAGCCACAACAGGCTCTCAGTCTCTCTTCAATTCTCAGATTGGGGGTAGGTTTGGTTACTCGTTGATCCATAGAAAAGTATAGCCTAAGTGGCTATTTGGCCTTGGTATTCAGCAAGTCAAGTATGCTAAGTACAGGACCAAAAAAAAAAAAAAAAAAAAACAGGTGCGAATAAAATCAATGGAAAAAATAGTAATTTCTGAAAAATAATGAGTGACCAGCTGAAAGAATTTGAGGTCTGATCAATGAGTCCTTTCAAGATGATCGTGTTTTGCCAGTTTCAACCAGCTGTGCTAGGGCTACTTACCTAACTTTGTTAGAGATCACTAGTTCCCTCTCCAGCCAGGGACTCCCAGGCTTTCTACCCAATAAGTACAGCCTAATTTTTCTGAGTTTATTATTTGGTCCTATTGTTAAGCCCAGTGGGAAAGTGTCTTCTTGAGTGAGCAGTACTTAGCATGACTGGCACTGTCACCATCTGTTGCTTTTTTTTTTTTCTATTCTAAAAACCTTTTTTTTTTTTCACTTTCTTTTGGATACTAGCACACTGAATTGCCTACCTGCTTTTTTTCTTTTTCCATACTTCAAAACTGCTAATTTAATTTACTCTTAGAGACCTGTTTCCTCCATTCCACCATCATAGAGCCATGTGTGCTATTTGATTATACAGCTTTGCATTATATTTTCAAATGGGTTACTGGTGGCTCCAACTTTGTTCTTTTGGGTCAATATTGACTTGTGATGCCTCCAGTTTTGTTCTTTTGGATCAATATTTGCTATTTGGGGTCTTTTGTCATTTTGTGGGAATAATAGGACTGTTTGTTCTTGTCTGTGAAGAATGTCATTGGCATTTTGTTAAGGATTCCACAGAATATGCAGATCACTTTAGATAGTATGACATTTTAACAACAGTAATTCTTTTAATTAATTAACAGGGGTAAACTTCTGTTTATTTTTGTCTTCTTTAATTTCTTTTAACAATGCTTCATAGTTTTAGTATAGATATCTTCCACCATCTTGTTAAATTTACTCCTAAGCATTTTTTTCTTGAAGCTATTGTAAATTGAATAGCTTTCCAAATTTCCTATTAAGCTAATTCACTATTAGTGTATAAAAATGATACTAAGTTTTCTATATTGATTTTGTATCTTGCAAGTTTACTGAGTTCATTTATTAGATTGAATAGTTTTCTTCTGAAATCTTTAGGATTTTCTGTTAGGCAAGTCAGTCACAAGCAGGCGGGCAGGGGGAAGGACAGTAAAGGGTAATAACTTACAGGGAGGAAGTCAGACATGTGCATCAAAGACAATTCATAGTTCATAACAGAGAATTTTATCAAAGCAGACAGAAACAAAAGAAACTGTTACCAGACAGTTCAAATATGGGCCTGAGGAGTAAGGAAGATAAGCCACAACACTCTCTGCTCCAGACATATTCAAAGTCAAATTGGTAGGAAAGGGATTTTATTCAAAATTACCTTTGAAGAAAGATGAAAAAATATAGTCATTGTTTCAAAAGTGCCATCCCTAAACCCTCTGGGAGGAAGAAAGTGTTTAGAAAGGGGAAGGGATGCATTAGAACGAAAGACAAAAGTTAACAGGTTTCACACTGTTTTTCACTTCCAGGAATTTCGAAGGTTTTAACTTCTTCCAAGTCCAGGGAGCCTTTCTTATCAAGTCAAAGGGATCAGGACATTCTGGAGCCATCATTTGCATCCACCATCTTCATCTTCCAATTTCAGAGGGAGAGCTTCCAAGGTCAGTCTTTTTTTTTTCTTAAATATTTTTTAGTTGTCAATGAATCTTTATTTTATTTATTTATATGTGATGCAGTGCCTCACACATGCTAGGCAAGCGCTCCACTGCTGAGCCACCACCCCAGCCCCCAAGTTCAGTCTTTTAAAAACCACGACTCTGTAAGGCCCATGTCACCACCCCCTGACATGACCTGTTTAGTCTCTCCTGAACATCTGTATTCTCCATTTTTCTAATAAACACTCCTGCCTGAAAATATGTGAGACTCACTTGAAATCCTTCCCACAGGATCAAAAGCACCAGTGATCACAGACCCCACCATTGCTTTGGCTCCACAGGCAACTGTTTACTGAAGCATGGTGTTGTTGGCTACCATCTCTGTTGGCCAGAATGCAGAGTATCAAGATTTGCATGCTATTTATTGTTAGCCCCATCCTTGTTGTTTCTAACTGACCCCTGGCACCTAGTCCTCTCAGGTGCCCCAAGATTTCCTGAGGTGAGCCCAGGAATGGTGGAGAAACTGAATCTTTACCTCTAAAATTTACTATCCCAACTACAGAATTGTGAGTCTAAGAGAATTCTCTGTGAGTGATGCTTTGCCATCTTGAAAAAGGGTGGCAAGTCCAACAGAACTCTTTCTCTTACCATTTAATTGTGACTTTTCTCAGCTCTGTGATCCCAAGTTGGTATATTAGCTTCAGACACACATCTTGGGGTATTCAGGGTAATACTTCATAGGGACAGTTGCTACATGGGTTTGTGTGTAGATGGGTGAAGCTGAAGAACCACATATTCTGTCATCTGGCTAATATTACTCTGGCTTTTCACTACCTTAGCAATATTATTCAAAAAGTAAAAACTTGATGAAGATAAACTTAGGATTTTTCTTATTTTGTGAATGACATATTTGGTGTTGTGCCTAGCAAAAAGTTTACAAACATTCCCGCATGTTCTTTTTTCTAAAAGTCTCATAGTTTAAATCATTCATTTGGAGTTAATTACTGTATATGCCATGAGATATGAAGGAGGTTCATTTATTTTTTCAGATAAATTATGAATTATTCAGTAACAATTATTGGAAAGAGTATGCTTTCTCCATCTCATTGTCTTCTTTTTAATTTGTGTCAAAGATCTTTTGACCTTATATAGATAAATATAGTCTGTCCTCTTCCCTATACCACAGTACCTTGATTATTATAGCTTCATAAAAACTATGGGATGGTGTTGTGGCTCAGGAGTAGAGCACTTGCCTTGCACCTGCGAGACCCTGGGTTCGATCCTCAGCACCACATAAAATAAATAAGTGAAATAAAGGTATTGTGTCCAACTACAACTAAAAAGTAAATATTTTTTAAACTATTTAAATCAAATACTGTTGCAATCCCAAGATTTGTTCTTTTATATATTATTTGTTTTGCTACTGTTTTATCTATTATTTTGCATGTATATGCTTTAACTATCCATTTTGACTTTTTGAATAAATTGTAGAATCAGCTTCTCGGCACTTTACAAAATATATTGCTGGGCTGTTTATTGGAACTCATCAGAATGTATTCCCCTTAATATTGCTAAAATCTTCAATTCAAAAGAAAAACACAGTATATCTCTCCATTTACTTAGGTCTTCTTTGATTTCTTTCATCAGTATTTTATATGTTTTTGTATACAAATCATTCCCATTTTGCTTCAGCTTTCTATCATGTCTTTAGTGCTAATACATACAGTTTGTTTTAATTCACAAATGTTTTAGTGCTAGAATACAAAAACAAGAATTTTTGTGTGTTAACTTTAAAATAGGCAAACTTGCTAAACTCACCTATTAGTTATAGTAGATTTTTGTAGACTGAGTTTTTTAGATAGAAAATCACAATCTACATAAAGAGAAATTTTTATTCTTTAATTTCCAATCCTAATTCTTTTTATTTTCTTGTCTTATTGAACAGGCTAAAATCTCTAGTAAAATTCTGAATACAAATGGTAAAAGCAAATATCCTTGTCTTGTTCTGAGTCATAACATTCGATTTTTTTTTTTTTTTTTACCATTTAACCATGTTGTAATAGTAGGGTATTTGTATATGACCTTTCTCAGACTAAACAAACTCTGCTCTATTCCTAATTTTTTTAAAATATTTATTTTTTTAGTTTTAGGTAGACACAATATCTTTATTTTATTTTTATGTGGTGCTGAGAATTGAACCCAGTGCCTCATGCATGCTAGGTGAGGGCGTAGTACCACTTGAGCCACATCCCTAGCCCCTCTATTCCTAATTTGTTGAAAGCTTTTTACATGACATGAATGTTAGGATGTGTCAAATGCATTATCTGTGTATATATTGAGATGATCATATGGTTTGTATTTTGAAGTGTGCTAGTAGGTTGGCTTATATTCATTGATTTTTAATTTTAAATTAATCATATTCCTGGGATAAATCACTCAGTCAAGATATAGAATGTTTTTTATATATTATTTGTTTTGCTACTGTTTTATCTATTATTTTGCATGTATATGAAAGAAAAATTTTCTCTTTTTTTTCCAGTGTTGCCTAGTGTTCATATCAAGGTAATTCTGGCAACATAAAATCCATTAGGAAGTGTTTTTCCCCTTTTCAATTTTCTGGAAGAGTTTATTTATATAAACATGATATTATTTCCTCCTCAAATGCTTAGCTTTCTGTACCTGTAATTTTCTTCTTAAAAGGTTTTTAATTCAAGATTTTCTTCTAAGTATATGGATAAAAGGGTAAGCTATTTCTTCTTCAATGAGAAGAGTATGTGTCTTTGAAGAAAGTTGTTCATTTCAACCAAATAGCCAAATTGTTTGTCATTAGATTGTTCACAATAGCTCCTTAAATTTTCACAATGTTTATATCCTTTTGATGAATTAACATTATTACTAAATAAACATCAGTATCCTTAATAAATTCTTATCTTTGACATCTTCACCTGATAATAATAAATTACTCCAACTTTACTTTTATTTTCATGGTATACATTTTGTCATCATTTTATTTTTTAAAATGGGGTTTATATCAGCAGAATATAGTGAAGTCTCACTTTTTAAATTCAGTATTGTGTTTAGGCCACACATAAAAGATGGGATTATTGCAATTTTTCAATTTATTCCTTCTTTTTGCTCCTCTTTTATACTCTTTCTGATTAAGTACCTTTTTATGACTCTCGTCGATTTATTTGTTTACTATTTATATCTACTTTTTCATGGTGGATTTAGATTTAACACTATTTATCTTTAACATAACAACTTCAAGTTACTATTGTGAATAAAAAACATTGATAATACCTTTGTTTCCCTGCTCTCAGTCCTTATGATATTGTTGTGTTAAATTTTACTTCTATATTTGTTATAAACCCCAAAACATATCATTATTACTTTTGCCTTGAGAAGAAAATTCTCTTTGAAAATCATGCTAAATAATAAAACATGTTTTACGAATATCAAAAAATTTACTCTTTGTGGTGTTCTTCTTTCCTTCATATACATTTACTTCTTCCTGGGGGATTTCTTTAACAAGTTTCTTAAACTATAAGTCAGCTATGATGAATTCTTTCAGATTCTTATATGAAGCAGTCTATATTTTCCCAGGCATTTCTTGAATAATTTGGTTTTGTAGAATATAGAATTCCATGTAGACATTTTTTTAAGAGTCCACAATTTTGTTTTTTCTCTTTAGTATACCTTCCTTTTTATTTGTTCTTTTTAGATACATGATAGTAGAGTGTACTTTGACATATTATACATACATGGAGTATAACTTCTTCTAATTAGGGTCCCATTCTTGTGTTTGTATATGATGTGGAGTTTCCCTGGTCATGTATTCATGTAAGAACATAGGAAAGTTATGTCTGATTCATTCTACTGTCTTTCCTATTCCCATTCCCACTCCTTTCCCTCCGTTCCCCTTTGTCTAGTGCAATGAACTTCTATTCTTCCATCATCCCACTATTAATGTATATTAGCATCCACATATCAGAAAAACTATTTAGCCTTTGGTTTCTTGGTATTGGCTTATTTCACTTAGCATGATAGCATCCAGTTCCATACATTTACTGGCAAATGCCATAATTTCATTTTTCTTTATAGATGAGTAATATTCCATCAGGTATATATACTATTTTGTTTATTCGTTCATCTGCTGAAGGGCACCTAGGTTAGTTCCATAGCTTAGCTATTGTGAATTGAGCTGCTTTAAACATTGATGTGACTGCATCACTGTAGTATGCTGATTTTAAATCCTTTGGGTATATACTAAGGAGTGCGATAACTGGGTCAAATGGTGGTCCCATTCCAAATTTTCTGAGGAATCTCAATCCTGCTTTCCAGAGTCTTTGCATCAATTTGCAGTCCCACCAGCAACATACGAGTGAACCTTTTCCCCCACATCCTTGCCAACACTTGCTTGTATTCTTGATAATTAACATTTGGACTGGAGTGAGATGGAATCTCAGTGTAGTTCTAATTTGCATTTCTCCAATTGCTAGAGATGTTGAACATTTTTCATATATTTGTTGACCATTTATATTTCTTCTGTGAAATATCTGTTCAGTTCCTTTGCCCATTTATTGATTGGATTATTTGGGGTTTTTTGATGTTAAGTTTTTTGAGTTCTTTATATATCCTGGAGATTAATGGCCTATCTGAGGTGCAGATGACAAAGATTTTCCCCCATTCTGTATGCTCTCTCTTCACATTCTTCATTGTATCCTCTTTCAGTTTGATACCATCCCATTTATTGTTTCCTGATTTTACTTCTTGTGCTTTAGGAGTCTTGTTGAGGAAATAAGTTCTAAACTGACATGATGGAGAGTGGGGCCTACATTTGCTTCCAGTAGGTACAGTGTCTCTGTTCTAATGCCTAAGTTCTTCAACCACTTTGAGTTTTATACAGGGTGAGAGATAGGGGTTCAATTTAATTTTGCCATGTATTAATTTCCATTTTTCCCAGCACCATTTGTTGAAGAGACTATCTTTTCTCCAATATAGGTTTATGGTGCCTTTATCTAGTATGAGGGAACTGTATATATGTGGTTTTGTCTCTGTGTCTTCTATTCTGTTCCATTGGTCTGCATGTCTTATTTTGTGCTCATACCATGTTGTTTTTGTTACTCTACCTCTGTAGTATAATTTAAAGTCTGGTATTGTGATGCCTCCTGCTTTGCTTTCTTGCTAAGTATTGCTTTGGCTAAGCTGAGCCTCTAATTTTTCCAAATGAATTTCATGACTGCTTTTCTCCTTCTAGAAAGTCATTAGAATTTTATAGTAATTGCATTAAATCTGTATAGATAGAGCTTTTGGTAGGATGGTCATATTTTGACAATATTAATTCTGCCTATCCAAGAACATGAGAGATCTTTCCATATTCTAAGGTCACCTTCAATTTCTTTCCTTAATGTTCTGTAGTTTTTCAACCTCTTTTGTTAGACTGATTCCTAAGTTTGGGGGGGGGGGTTGTTTGTTTGTTTGTTTTGAGGCTATTGTGAATAGAATTGTTTTCCTAATTTCTCTTTCAGCCGATTCATCTGTGGTGTACAGGAATGCCATTGAATTATTGATATAGGTGTTAATTTTATATCCTGTTAATCTGCTGAATTCTAGATGTTTTCTGATGGATTTTTTTGGGGGGGAAGGTCTTCTAAATATAGAATTATGCCATAAACAAATAGGAATAGTTTGAGTTCTTCTTTTCCTGTTTGTATTCCTTTAATGGCTTTCTTTTGACCAATTCCTCTGGCTAGAGTTTTAAGTACTTTGTTGAATAGAAGTGGTGAAAGGGGGCATCCTTGTCTTGTTCCAGTTTTTAGAGAGAATGTTTTCAATTTGTCTCCATTTAGAATGATGTTTGTTTTGGGTTTACCATATATAACTTTTACAATGTTCAGGTATATTCCTACCATCCCTAGTTTTTCTTGTGTTTTGAGCATGAATGGATGCTAAGTTTTATCAAATGCTTTTTCAACATCTATTGAGATTATCATGTGATTTTTGTCTTTAAGTCTATTGATAAAGTGAATTACATTTATTAATTTCTACATGTTAAATCAACCTTGGATCCCTGGGATGAACCCCACTTGATCATGGCACACTATCTTTTAAATATGGTTCTGTATGTGATTTGCTGGTATTTTATTAAGAACTTTTGCATCTATGTTCATCAAGGATATTAGCCTGAAGTTTTCTTTCCTTGATGTGTCTTTTTCTGGTTTTGGTGTCAGGGTGATACTAGCTTCATAAAATCAGTTTAAAAGAGTTCCCTCCTTTTCAATTTCATAGAATAATTTGAAGAGTATTGGTGTAATTTCTTCTTTGAAATCAGCAGAAAATCCATCTGGTCCTGGGCTTGTCTATTTTACTGGAGTATAGATTTTCAAAATAGTTTCTGATATCATCTGTATTTCAGTACTGTCCATTGTGATATTTCCTTTTTTATCATGAATCTTAGTAATTTTGAGTTTTCTCTTTCTCTTCATTAGCTTTATTAATTTACTTATTTTTTCAAAGAATCAACTTTTGTTTTATTGATATTTTGAAATTTTTTTGTTTCATTTCATTGATATCAGCTCTGATTTTGATTATTTCCTGTCTTGTACTGCTTTTGTGTTGATTTGTTCTTTTTTATAGGGCTTTGAGATGTAATGTTAGTTTGTTTATTTGATTAATTTCTATTCTTTTAGCGAATAAGCTCAATGCAATGAACTTTCATCTTAGGCCTGCCTTCATAGTGTCCTAGTGATATTGATATGTTGTGTCATTAGACTTTTGAGTATGATAATGACGTTCTTGTACTGTTTACTGGCTTGCCTTGTTTTCAGTGAGAATCCTATTAGCATTATCATTAGAAATTTATTGATTTTTCTTCTCATTATAAGTGGTATTTTTACTTGTTTATATGTCTGGTAAGTTTTCAGTAGACAAAAGAGATTATGGATCATATTGTGGGGTGACCACTGTACATGACTGTTTATTTAAATATTTTTAACTTTGTTTTAGGACCCAGTTAAAGTATCTGAAAATGTTTTGACTTGTTAATAATTTATATTAAGGTTCATTATATAAGCCTAGAGCAACCTTTAGTCTACAACCAGTTTCCACGTTGGTTAATTTAAAAAAAAATTTGTCTAAGTATTTTTCCATTCATGCTCTGTTTTAAAGGGTTTTTTTTAACTTTTATGGTATAAGAAAACAAATTGTTCAGATTATTAAGATATTCTTCTGCTTATTCTTCTTGCATCATTCTTCCCCAAGTTCCATGTAGTTTTTTTCATACTCCTGCAATAAGACTCTAAAGTGATAGGGAATGAAATTTTAATAAAGACTTTCAAAAGTTTTGTTTTGACTCACATATCCCAGATCCAAACTTGAAAAAACTGGAAAATCATCAAGCATAGAAACAAAAGTCTTAATAAAATCCATACTTTTTTTTTTTTGCCATTCTAAATATTTAATCAGAAACATTTTGTAATTATTACTGTAAGTGAATATACATAAAAATTCATCACATTTTGACAAATGGTGTATATCATATCAAATCCCAAGTAATTAATTAGACTTAATTAGTAAGTAATTAATTAATTATAGTGTACCAGTCTTTATGACATCACTGTGTTGTACCTAAAATATTTTACATTATAACTGCAAAAACAATTTTAAATTTTAGTTTTGAACTTTTAAACCAAATTTATAACACCAACATGATAATATTAAACATATTAACTTGACGGAATGTTTCCAAAAATTCACTGTGATTCCGTGAAATGAATTTTTCTTGCAACCAAATCACTATGGAAATTAATTTAAATGATGTTCTATTTTAAGCATCTAATGATGTCTATGTAAAACTGGCATCACTGTCTGAAAATTCTTCTGCTAATTGGTCCAATATATTAACACCTAATATTTACTTTTGTATTTGAAAATTTAAGATTGATAATGCAAAAAATGAATTTAAAAAGAACTTTTTTATT